TTGAGGGTTTAGGGTTTAGGCTTTGAGGGTTTAGGGTTTAGAATTGATATCCAGTAATGCTTTGCGGCTGAGGTTGCGTTTTCATGCAATATCTTAATTACAAGTCCTGGCGAGACCTGCAAAACCAGCAGCTCTCGCTTAAACGGTTTACGCAGACCACAACAGCTGTCACGCGAAGCGCCGAAACTGGTCAACCAAACCCCAATCACGAAAACCTCATGCCAATAAGCTGAAACGGGTTGCATGGAGCTGAAGGTGGCTTCTTGGAAAAAACTATACAGCCAAAAAATGATGAACCTCCACTGAGCCTTCTGTTAGAACGTATTTCGGCTTTATTGCGGCCTAATTGTTTTTTGTTTACGAAGGGCCTCTTGTTGCCAGGCTATGACATACTTTACCAGAAAGTTCTGCAGCCTCAACCTCTGGACCCTAAGCCCTAGGGCCCTAAACCTTAGCCAAAACCCACAAAACACAGAAGCCTCTGCAGGACCACCAAAAACCAACCCGGGACCCTAGACCCTAAACCCAAGCAAACCTCCAACTTCTACGCCCTAGACCCCTAGCCCAAAGCCCGAACCATAAGCCCTAAACCGAAAGGTTTAGGGTTTAGTTAGGGTGTATAATGTTTAGGGAGCCCCAAGCATAAGCCCTAAACCAAAAGCCTCCAGGCGACAAACTCTAGACGTGGAAGTCGAAAGAAACCCTAAACCCTACACCCTAAACCCTACTACACCCGCCTGCCCAGAGCCGCCGGAGCCTCCACTGCCACTGAAGTCCATTCTGCGTAGCCTCTTGCAGAAGAGGGCTTCGACACTAGGGTTCTCTGGCCGAAGCGCTTCGGAGGTTGAGGGTTTATTTGGGTTTAGGGTTTAGGATTTAGGGTTTAGGGTTTAGGATTTAGGCTTAGGGTTTATTTAGGCTTAGGATTTAGGGTTTAGGGTTTAGGCTTAGGGTTTATTTAGGCTTAGGATTTTGGGTTTAGAGTTATGGCGTTACGGCATGCCTAAGCTTCAGGGGAACATGGTCCAAGCATTCGAGTTCAGAGATGGGTTGGGGATTCTGTTCAGCTTGGTTCAAGCCGAAGTTCAAGCATGAGGGGTATGTCTTCAGCTGACTGGCTGTAGGCTATCCGATTCAGGCTGCGTTGTTTAGGGTGGCGTAGACTGGGCCGTTGTCAAGGCATCTAAACAAAAGATGCCCGTGCAAAATAGTGGCATGAGTACTTAGCAAGAGCGTTGCCTGGTTGAGACTTAGCCCCTATACCAGCACGGTACAAGATGACCCGAAAGTCGTAGTCTATGGACGAAGACCACAAGCATTGGCTCCCGTGCCTTCCCTGTCCACTGGCAACATGCCTCCCTTCCTCATCTACCTTCAGCGTCCACCCCGGGGCCTCGAAACATGCTTCTACGGTGCGTGGTTTTGTTACGAATTTGGGTTCCAGTAAGTTCTGCCCAAAACATTTAGTGAGGCTGGACCTATCTGCTGAAACCGCTCGGTTGACCCTTTAAAGCCTTTGCAAAATTAGACCATGTTTTGAACATTGTTTGCTTTCAGCACTATACCCTAAAGGCTTGGGCTGGCTTTGAAAGGCGCAAGGGGCCCTGGGGGCCTCAAGAAGCTCACGATTAAGACTTCGACAGTAGGGCTGAGAGTTGGGGTTTGGAGCTAGTTAAGTGGTTGGGGTCGGCCCTAAACCCTAAACCCTAAACCCTAAACCCCTAAACCCCTAAACCCCTAAACCCTAAACCCTAAACCCTTTTAGGGTTTAGGGTTTAGGGTGTTGAAGGCTTCATGCTTTAGGGCCGGCCATAGTGGTTTAAGGTAGGTTGCTTGGGGGTTTTGAGGGACTTAGGGTATGATGCTAAACGCTTCAGTCCGAAGATAGAACCCCGGTATTATAGGATTAGAATATAGTGTTGGGGGTTTGGGTATGTTATTCTGAAAAACAACAAAAAATGGTATTGGTAACTGTTTGGTTCCCTATAGTACTGATCCTGCCTTCGGGGGCTCTGCTGCGGATGCGCTTCTGCGGCTACCCGTGGTGCCAAGAGTTGCAGAGAAGAGATATAATTTAGGGCCTGGCGGTTTAGGGTTTAGGGTCCAGGCTTCAATTTCGAGATATGGGTCAGCGTAGCAGGCTCTTCGGAGTGGTCGGAGTCGTAGCCACTAGCGGCACTAGCGTCAGAGCGGTAGTCTATGTCTCCTACTTCTACCCCTACTTCTGATCGCGTCTTTGTGTCTTATTTGCGATGCAACGAGGAAGCTGTCAAGGTGCCTGTACGACTGGTGGTGGTGGTGGTGGTGGTGGTGGTGGTGGTGCTGGTGCTGGCAACTTTGGGTTGCACCTACCCCAACTAAGAGTCCTGCCTCAGAACTGCGCAGACCTGCTACAACCCTCGACTCTCAAGGGCTCGCCCTCTGACATCATAGCTCCAACCGAGAACACAAAGTCGAGCAAAGCCTCGAACGGAAAAGTGCAGTATGCCGAAATCAACTTCGCATGACAAAAGACCTCACTGTCAAATCACAGAAAGCAGATCTGCTAAAAGCAAACAATCATGCAATACTGAAATGCTCGTCGCCTCACCTTCATGGAACAAGTACCGAAAGCTCGCACTTTGCTTCGCAGCAGATTTGTCTTCGAGGAGCGAATTGCAACTGAGCATAACTTGAAATCACCCTTAGAGAGAGCCAAGGCGAGATCGATTCATCGCCTAATGTACTATAGGGGCCTTAATAATAAGAATAGGGCTTGGTATATTATACTATAATCATAACAAGGAGCCCCCCAAAACCCTATTCTAACTATTAAGGCCACTATATTACGTAGCTGTAAAATTCTATACTGTGATAGGCGGATGGCCAGTAGCATCGGAAGTCCAGCGCGAGCACAATGACAAGTCACTGTCAGTGACAGGAATGCTCATGCATCGGCCTTGTGCCGACGGAGCTCTTCTAAACGCTAAACCCTAACCCTAAACCCTAAACCCTAAACAGGGTTCATGGACTGAGGCGTCCCGGTTATTGTTTTTTATGGTCTCTTGCGGTCCAGGCTTTTTTTGGCCCAGGGTCTGGGACAGCGGCTTTGGTGTTGCTGGCTGCAGGGACTGTTCCTCCGATTCGCGGAAGCTGCAATACTGGAGCTTAAGGGTTTAGGGTTTAGGGTTTAGAGCTTAGGGTGTTGGTCTCCGGTCTGTAGGTCTTCAAAACGTGCTCAAGATGTTGCCCACCCGTTGCTGCGCCCCCCTGTGCCAGTACTACGTCACACAAGTTCGAGCTTTAGATGCTCCGCGAACCCTAAACCCTAAACCTTGTTTAGCACTGAAGCGGTGAGACTACCGCGCTGAAACCCCGAAGCACGGGTAGATGGGCAGCAATGGCAAGGAGGAGGGCCATTTTCAGCCCAGTGGGGGTGTGAAGCCGTACTTTGCGGCGGTGCACCCCTCCTTGTTGGGGTCGATGGTGACTGCCGGTTCAGGGTGTAGGGATGTCTCCACTAGCTCCCAATCTCATCCGGGTTTGAGAGTATAGGAATGCGACGTTTCAGTGATGGCTTACACCATCAAGAAGTCAGTCTCCTGCACGATTGGCATGACCTGCGGTCTCAATTCCTCTTCCGACGGCTCACGATCCTCATCATCAACTAGGGGAACGCCCACCTCATCTACTAGGGGAACGCCTACCTGAGCCTGCCGGACGTCCACTTCAGGACAGGGGTCGCAAGAGGGAACGCACTGGCCCTTGGAGAACTGGACCCACCACCGTGGGAGCATCCAGATTGCCAGGACTGCCATGAAGCTGCCCGCGGTCATCAGCAGCCAGTCAAACTTGGTCCCTTCAGCAGGTTCGGCTTTCCTGGCCTGGCCAGGGGAAGTCAGGCATGCTAATATTAACAAAAAAGGCTTAATGACAATGATAAGAGCGGGGTTCTGGTGTATGTTAGAATCATGTGGGGACTCTAAGTGGGATCTGTTTTCTACTTATTCCGAGCCCGTATTGATGACTCTGGCAAGAGCACGACATCAAGCAATCTAGGTCGCACTTGCAAACCCTGCAGCGCCTAGACCCTAAACCTCAAAACGGTTTAGGGTTTAGGGTTTAGAGTTTAGGGTTTAGGGTTTAGGGTTTAGGGTCGTAAACCCGCCGGAGCCACGCTGTACTGCTGGACAGAGTGGTTCATGAGGTCAAGTGACTGGCCGAGTGGTGCCAGCTTCTGGAAGCTTGCACCTCTCAGTCGCCCAGGGCTCCTATAAGCGCCTACTAGGAGGAGCCTAGGGTTTCGGGCTTGGGGTTGAGGCTAATGTGCGCCTGAGCCCGAAAACCTCTGCAAATCTCACCATACTCGCCCATGTGATGTCAGGGTCGTGGTCATAAGGGACTTGACAAATGCATAACATATACATCTATTATCATGCTATGCTACGCTCCCCAATGTTCAGGGAACATGCCAAGGAATGACCAGCTGTCTTGGCGAATGCATGGCTATCAGGCCTGCTTGCCCTACTGGTTTGGATTCAGGCTCAGTTTAGCCCCAATGTAGGGTTTAGGGTTTATCGGTTTAGGGTTTAGGGTTTAGGGTTTCAGGCTTTAGGGTTTGTTGGGCTGTATATAGGAGTCAGGTTTAGGGTATAGGTTGAGTATCCCTACATCGTGACCCTAAGCCCCAGACAGTGCACAAAGGGGCTTCGCGTTTTAGCGGTTTGGGGTTGTAGCTGAGCGGTTTAGGGTGGAAGGTCTATGGTTGCAGGGTGCACCAACGCCCTGAAAAAAAGATCTATAGGGTTTAGGGTTTAGGGTTTAGTTTACGGCTTAGGGTTTGGGGTTTAGTTTAGGGCTTAGGGTTTAGGGTTTAGTTTAGGGCTTAGGGTTTAGGGTTTAGTTTAGGGTTTGGGGTTTAGTTTAGGGTTTAGGGTTTAGGGTTACCCTAGCCAGCTGGGCAACCCCTGAACTTCCCAGGAGTGACTCGCGGAGTAATCAAGGTCCCTAGGCAACCAATCCTCTGCGTTTAGGGCTTTAGGGTTGTAGGGCTTTAGGGTTTAGGGTTTAGGTCTTTAGGGTTTAGGGTTAGGGGTTTGGGGGTTTAGGGGTTTGGGGGTTTAGGGGTTTAGGGGGGTGCCTGGAAGAGTTTCTAGAAGGGTTTCTCTAGGGGTTCTATGTAAAGGCTGAGGATTCAGCCCTGCACCCTATAA